ATACAAAATTAGATATTTATTTATATTTTTTTAATATTTAAAATTTAATTTTTATAAATTTAATTTTTAATAAATATAAATCTTTATATTTTATATTATTAAAATTTTAATAATATAATATAATAATAATAAAATAAAATTAAATATAATTAATATTATAATAAAATTATATATATTAATTATATTAATAATAATAGAATTGATTGATTTTTGAATAATTTTAAATAGTTTAAATAAAAATCTATTAGTAATTTAATTATATAAATATTTAAACAATATTTTAAACTAGTTTAAAATTAATTTTAATAATAATAAAAGATTTTTATTACAATAACAAAAGATTATTTTCAAATTTATTTTTTAATAAGATTTAAAATATTATTTTGTTTTTTATATTATTTTTATTTCTTATTAAATTAATAATTATAGTATTATTCTAAAAAATTATATAATAATTATTTATTAGTATAATTTGAAAGTTAAAAATCTAATAATATAATAAATTAATAAAAAATTAAATAAAATAAATATATAAATAGTTCTTAAAAGTAAATATTTTTAATTAAGTCAATTCTTTTTAGAATTTTCTTGAAATAAAATTTTTGAAATAAAATTTTATTAGATCTCACTTTATTTTTAAACTAATAATACTAATAATTTTTAGAAATTTTTAGAATATTATCTTTAAAATAAATATAAGAACTAGATATAATCAGATTTCTTTTATAGTTATCACACTTGAAAAAGCAAAATTGAATAACTAAAGAGAGATGTGATTATAGAGAGATTTATTCAATTATAGTTAATTAGTAACTGGAAAATTCAAAAAAGATGACTATAAAAAAAGATGATTATAAAGAGATGAACTATAGAGAGATCTAACTATATATTTAAAACTTGCACATAAGTAAGTTATTATATATAATCAATATTTATTATGACTAATGAAAAGTAATTTCTAGCATATAATTGTAATTATATTAGCACATTCACAAATGTATTAACATTAAAATAAGATGGAGCTACAAGCTATACAGTCAGATCTTCTTATCACAAATTATTATAATCACATTTTTTAATTTCCAAAACAATATACATAAGAAATTTGTCCTCCATATATGTCACAATCTACAGTTTTCATAAACTGAAACGTGATTATATAGAGGTCTGATAGTATAGAACGCGATTTGTGATAATCATCAAAATAAACTGTCCGGTAACTTTGTTTCGCCAAGAGTAAATTTTCTTTTCACATTAAATAAAGAAAAAAATAGCTGAAAAGGAATGATAAATAAAATTCAAATGAAATATAAAATTAATTGAAAATTTACAGTCCTTTTCATAAGTAACTGACACCCATAACTTTCCGAAAATCATTTGTAATTTTCCGAACACAAAGAACGCTGATCATGATGGCTTATAATCTACTTACGCCGTAGATAATCAATAAGCTTCTACGTTAAAAAATATCTCTTCCTTTACAACGCGAATCATAAATTTCTAACCCCTTTTATCTCAATGAAAATTTCATATAATGCCAAGAAATTTTCTGAGCACAAAGAACTTACATCTACGTTTTTTATAAACCCGGAATATTTCTATATTCAGGCATTGAACGTTCATCAAAACTTTTCATGCCTCAATTTATACGATACTAGTGATCCGATAACTCGACATCCAGTAGCACAATTCAAGCAAAAATGCAATCATTCGATTCATCTAGTCGAGATGAATCGATTGATAATAATTTTGATCAAATCTTGATCACTACGCTACGCATCGAGATATGTATTATGACCAAAATTGTCTGGAGATCATTTTTTTAATGATCAACAAAAATGAATCGTCAATTTAGAATCCAATATCTCGACGCACTGTGCGTCGAGATATTGGATTTGCTGTAGATACTTGATGAGCATCTAATTCCCGATACAGACAGCATTTGTAATGTTCTCTGTGTTCGGAGGTGTCAGTTGCTTATGAAAAGGACTGTATACATGTAATACATTTTTTGATTAAATTAAGAAAATTATTCTAAATAAAATCACTAATAAATAAACAGGACGAATTCGTGCTGCAAAAAATATTCCTTAAATATATAAAGATTCCTTACAATAAGCTAATTAAGGTAGGCTTAATATCGATATATGTGTTTTTAAAATTCTTTAAGATCGTCAAAAAAGTCGATGAATAAAACTACATACGGGAGCTCGATCATGTTCGTTTTCTTTTGCCTTGCCTTTTAATGCTTAGTCAAGGTTTTTGAGAAAATTTTCCAATATTTAAGTTGTGATTTGTTTTGTCAGGTGCCGCATTAAATACTACCCAAATGCTTTATTATCGTTTCTTTCTATTCCTACTTCCGTATTCATAACATAAACCAATTCAAAAATACATCATTTTCAGAGGATTTTAAAAGATGTTTGAATAAATAGACTTCAGTCAAATAAATGAAAATTAACTTAATTCATTACCAGAATGGGCAGATTTTAAATGCCATAATGCTTTGTCATCATCTTTTTATGTTGAATTCCAAACTCAAACACCTAGAAAGGGTTGTGTTGTGCTAAACTGAATACAGCAATAGAGGATTTCAATATTTTTGTTCATATTGATTATTTCTTGTCCATTTTTATAGCAATAAGCAAGCTTGCTTGAAGGCTGCGGATTTCAAATCATCATTCAAACACTTGTTTCTTGTCTATTTATAGCAATAACAAAGATTATTTTGTGCTTAAAAATTTCAGATTCTGCTGCTTTCAAGTGCTCCTAAAATGCCTTTATCTTTTTATTCAATTTGTGCCTTTGTATAATTCTTCAATCAAATATTGGATTATAGCGTCGTCGCATTTGTTGAATGATATAGCGATTGATCATAGACTTCTCAACGTTAATACCAAGGCGGTAAAATAAATTTTATTTTATTCGGGGATATTTGAGAGCTTCGAAAATTGTTTCAAAGATTTGGCTAAATTTGTTTCATGATTTTGAAAACGATGTCAAATATCATTCAAGCTAATATGTTGCTGTGATAGAGATGATGATGCTAAATTTTCTTGACCCGTACATTTATGACAATGTTAAAGTCCAAAATCCATTTTTCTTTTTTGATCTTTTTTAATTGCAATCTCTTTGTATTTAATTGTTTGTTTCACTTGTTTTTCACCAATTATTTTGAAAACACATCGTAAATAAGCTACCCCTTTTTTCAGCCCAAAATTGGGTGCAAAAAGTATATGCAAACATAATTTAACTTCGTTTTTTTATGTGCATGTGTGCATATATATATATATATATATATATATATATATATATACTATAATTGGACTCTAAATACTTGTAGTTCATCGGTACATGTAGTTTCGGTGACGATCTCAATATAAAATTTTCTTATGTACGTATTGATTCTGATGTCATTAGATGCTCTGAATTTTGTTCGGTTATCGTTATACAATAAGTTTTCAATATGATGTATTTAGATTATCACGATTTTCCTTGATTAAATAATCAAAATCTGATCGCTGTTGTATCCCCCGAATATCAACATCAAACTCTCGCCAAGAAATATGCTGTTATTATAAAATAAAACACAAATAAATAAAGTTATGTTTTTATTTATAATTAGTGAAATTCAAAATTTTTGAATTGATTTGGTAATTTAAAGAGGCATAATATATAGCCTTTCACGTATAATGAAAGTTTTTTGAATTGCTTCCCTAATTAGAGGTGACGCAATGTTTTTGAACGTTATTCTATTTAATAGGAACTTTTTTTGAAATACATGTACAGTACATGTAAATATGTCGAGATATTTATGATGTAAGTGTAAATATTTGCTGCTTTTGAAACGCATTGTTCCCCATTTTCATTCTAAATAGAAAATTCGATTGCTCGAATTTGTTTTATTCGGAATTAAATATTCTATTTTTATCGATCAATAGCGTCATATTTACCGACTGTATTGCATCAAGCTAATGCATTGATCAAATACACATTTATGCAAAGGAAAATTAATTCACTCGCCATCGATAAAATTGATAAAACTCGGGTGATAGTAAGACTCGAAATTAAAAACATCGAGATCGGAAATCGTCTAAAAAATTCCCTCGCTTTAATTGTGAATCTTGAACAACGACGGCGGCGGCGTTATCAGATTCTGTTTAAATTGTTAAAAGATGGGCTCAATACTAACTAAATCAGCCAAATACGCACACGTAAACAGATTTTTAAGTGCATAAAAAATACAGTATAGTACAGTACAAGTACTACATGTGCATGTAAATAAATTTTTAAGTGTATAAAAAATTTAAACCAAATAAATAAGGAAAATCATTTTCTCATGGTTGGTTTGAGAGTGAATTAATGTATTTTGTAGGTCTTTCTATAAATCGACTTTAGGGGAAAAAGCGAAACACATGTTCTAACGTTAACGGGCAAAGAATCATCTTCACGCATTAGCGTTAGTGTACGCGTGACCACTCTTTAGTCAGTGTCCGAGCGTATGCTGGGACGAGCAAACGTTTATTAAATCGATATAATTGAATTTGTATATCAAAATAAAAGATGCAAAGATTTTTTATTTGCATTCCGATATACGTGCACTTTCCTGTATCTGAGTAAGAAATTGATAACTAAGGAAAAAGATTTTGACTTTCTTCAATAAAAAAAAATAATTACTAAAGCTTATATATACAATGTGTTAAAAGGATCAATTTGCAAAAGAGAATGTGGCATATAAATTAAGTTAATTCAATCAAAATTTTGAGAAACAGAACTTAAATGTTATGTATGAGTAACAATGTTGGTGTGCGCATAAAACAAAAGGCATGCATAATATATCGTTATGAAAAGGTGGGAACTATTACAAGCACCCGAAAGAGGGCGACCATTTGTAGGGAAAGCATAGAAAAAAAGGAGGATTATAATCCCAACTTAATATTGCTCTAAATCGAAATCAAAAAGTCAAAATCTAGTTCAAAATAAATCCCAAGTTCATCCGATCACCGGACTTCTTAAATTGATCTGTGAGTCTTTCTATTTCACCGTCTATTCGTCGTTGTCGATTATTCACAAAATTTTTGCATTGTAAGGCTGTTCTCCGTGCATGTGGACGCGATATTGCTTCTGCTATTGCCACCCAATCTGTGGCTCTTAGTTGATTCACTCGTGTTAGTATGTATTGTCGTTCTTCATATGTGAACGGTAAATGGTTTACTATTGAAAATTTAAAGGGGGGATTGAGAAAACTTATGATTTCCTTTTGAAAAGAACAACATTGTGACGATTTTCTCTTACTTTCTGGATCCGCATGAAATATCCATCTTTTTCAAAGAAGAAAAGAAAATAAGATGTAAGGAAACAATCGAAAAGTCCTGTTTTAACATTTTATTAAGCTCACCGCTCACGACATGCTTTAGAATTTTGTTTTGGGAACCAATGACTAATAATTCGCCACAAATTCGGTTGATCTTGATATAATTTATACAATACTCTTAGTTTATGATCATCCTAACAGTGATATATTTCAAAAGGTGAGAAAGGAATGTAATAAATTTAGTATTTGTTACAAAATAGAAAAGCAGAACCTTCTCCTAGAAGACACACTTATTCACCTCGCATGTCCAATTATTTCTTCCACGAGCCATTTCTCAAAATTTATAAAGTATTTAAAATGTTTTAGAATGAAAAAATTGATAAAGAAAAGCAACAGTAATTTTATTTTTATTGATATTATTGTGTTCATATAAAAATTTGAAAGCACAAGTCCTCTTTCATTGAAAGAAATTTTGTCTTTCAAAACTCGAGAGTAATACAAGTATAAATACAGAAATTTCGTTAACCAAGTAAATCGAGTAATCATAATAATAATAATAATAATAATAATAATAATCTAATCGATATTACAAACTCAAAAACTTTTATTTTCAAGTATCCAAACAAATAGCTATTATTAGTGATAACGTTTGAAAATTCACATCTCGACTTTGTGTCACTCTAAAAAAAGAAGGGTCAAATCATTTTTCATTGAGAAAAACAGTTGATCTGCGTTAACCCTTCTAAGGTCGTACACAGTTCTGGTAATGCATACCCGATTTCTTTGTTTTGAACATGTATATTAAAATTAACTGTTGTAATCGTTAATAGACTTGAATTATAAATAAAACGTGGAACAGGATATCAATAAAATCAAAATTCCTCATTTCTTTGAGCTACTTGACTTTTGTTTAAGTTACATTGCATTTTGTTCAATAATCACACGTATCAATTGAGCTTTCTTAGAATGACTTAAACGGTAATAATTTTCTCTTAGATGGCTTTTCGTGTATCTGTGCACAAGTCTGCATGTGCACGTAAAACTAAATATCGATACGAAATTCAATTTTAGGTTCTATTAACGATTTGATAAATACAAACAAGAAGCAAGACAGGAATGCATTCCAGAATTCTAGACTATCATTTCTAGCTAAGGTTTTATTGACCAATTAAAAAAAAATGAATTCCAATTGATAAGCATCTTTTGAACTGAAGGAAATAAACAAAACAAAAAACGTAACGAACTATTCTCTAGATAGAATCATGTGAAGAAAAACGAAATCAGATTTCTCCATCATTGTAATTACCCATTTAGGTAAGTCATTTTTCGTTTTGGATGGTAAATAAGACGAAAGGCGAGGCGAAAAAATCTTCAATTCGAGAAGATTGAAAAATGGTATGATTGTTAACTGTTGTTTTTCATTATGAATCATCTCCCGTTCTATATCTATTTAGAGCAACATAAAGCAAAGTCATGAAGTTGCTATTAATATTTCCGGAGAAACGAGTTTTCCATGTTAATTCTATTCAAGAGCACAATCTGTATAAATTTGACATAAATAGTAAGCTTTATGAAAATTCATTGATTTTTTGGTGTATTTTCAGAGAAATCAGTTCCATGACTTGATTTAAATATATATATTTAAAAAGATCTTAACGATTGATAAGTTGTAACCTAATGTAAAAAAAAGTCATTGCTGTGATATCACTAAATTATCCAAGTCTTGATTTTCTCAAATTAATAAATTGTTAAGTAGTAGTCGCATAACTTCACTGATATAATGATATTAATTATGTGTCGCCCAACATTCCAACACTCATACCCCAATAAACCTCCCGACACTCATATTCCCGATAATCCGACAAATCCAACCTAACATCCCGGCAAACTTTCTTTATGTTAAGTCAATTAATAATTGTAAATAAAATTGGTAAATTGTTATTACAATACATAAAAAACAGAAGTTTGATTGTCGGGAAGATGGGTGTCGGTATGTTGGGTAGACCCATTAAGCATAGTCATATTAAAGGCAAAAGCCGGAAAAAAATCTGCTTTTTACTAAATATAGCATGTATGCATTTTACATGTACATGACATGTTTTTATGAGTGAATAAAAAAAGGGGAGGGGTTCGCTATGTTTAAACTCAAATGGGAAATTTAGAATGTGATGTGTAATACTTTGCTAAATGAATTTGATTATGGAAATAATTTATGAGCTGAGTCTTAACAATTAAAATTCTTTGTGAAGCGAACAAGTAATTATTACTTGGACTACATGTATAAGTGATCCAAAATACGATCAATATAAAATATAAATTTTTTAATTCATGATCTGTCATTCTTTTTTGGAACTGTCAAAAAAAGTGTTATTCGACCCAGCAAATGGACCGTTGCTTCAACAATTGTACCATTTTTGTATGAAGATATTATTAGTCAGGCAAACAAACAAATTAGTAAAAAAAATAAGTTTGACTTTATGGTGAGTTGCGTACGATTCAATCGCTCACATATATCCTCAGTATACACAACTCCCGGGATTATTCTAGATTACATAATAATTGTTTGACGCATAATGGAGGAAAACTCTATTCTCATATCACTAATATCTTATTTTGTGTTTTCAATAGTAAGCATGTTTGTTTTCGAGTGTTCTCATGAGAACACTAGTACGTACCGGTTACATATAACTTCTTTGATATTGCAAGTACATGTAAATAAATTATGAAATAAATTAATTTTTCAATTATGAAAAATAAACGACAAATCTCCCATATATCCGTTTCTTCTAGCTCGTCTACACCATCTAATTGCTGCATGCTTATCCCGTTTCTCATGTGATTCAAATTTCGCGAGGTCTAATAGAACGTGTACGCATGAGCTCTCTGCGGACTTCAAATACCAATAATAGGATCTAAATAAATCATGTCTCCTATGATAAATCCTCGCAATAGCATGCTGCGCATTCCAGTGTCCCGCGTCGGCAGCTTTTTTGTACCAGTATTCTGCTGTTTGTTCGTTAACTTGCCCGCCAAGACCAGTTGAAAGAGCTATTGCGTAGTAATACATTCCTCCACAGTTACCTCGTAAAGCTACTTCACGGAACTGCTCTAATGCTCTGGTCGTATCTCGAGGACAACCGTTGCCATATTGATAACACCAGCCTAATGCTATTTGAGCGATGTCTGAACCATTATTTGCGGATTCTTGAAATAGGCCAAATGCCCTTTCCAGTCCGTTGTTTTCGCTATGAAGTAAAAATGCTGTTTGATATTCAGAAATAAAAATGCCTTGATCAGCACCAATTTGGTACCATTCAAGAGCTAAATGTTCATTGGCTGACACTCCGATTCCATAAAGATAGAAAAAGCCGAGAAGACTTGCATAAGCGGAGCGATTTTCATCTCTTAACATCAATTCCAAAATATAATTTGGTTCAAGATTTCTCCTCCATAGCCAATTTTTAATATATGGAACAAGCGTTACGTCTCCTTGGAAAATCCGTGTTTTTGAATAGTAAATATTTAATAACTCTTCGAGTATTTCTTTCTCATTAGGATCCATAGTTTTTTTACACAAACATGTATCGATATTGCGGTATTTAAATGAAATGCAGATCGGCTGATTTGTGAAACTTTATTTGGTAACATAATGATACATGTACATTTGTTTATTTACATTTTACATGTACAAGGCAACCCCGTTTAACCGAAGCACTAATTACAACCGAAGATGGCTCCAGGATCAGTTATAGTAAATCTACCCCGTTAAATAATGAAACCTCGGATAAACCGACAATTTTTTACTAATAGCGCCGACCAATTCGGTATAACGGGGTTGCCTTTGTACTAGGAAAATGGTGAGTCTGGAGCGATAAATTTTTTAATTGGTATAACCAGTCACGGGCGTGACAACCGGAAATCCCACGTGACAATCAATCTTTTACAATAATTTTGCACCCATTTCATGTGACTTGAAGTGGGAACTAAACGATTAGCCTTATCATATTTCTCAGAAATGATTTCAAACAGGTATTGAAGATGTAAAAATAAAGTCGTTCCAGAGAAAAATATTCAAAATTGGTTCCATGAAAAATCGATGAGGAATCCATACCAAAAACGGTAGACCAGTTAAGGAGAATGCGTTTTGCTGGAGTGAAATAAAGGACGTGCTATGGCTGCTAAACAGTCAGAGAAAAATTTAAAACATTTAAGATATATGATATGAGAAATTAAATTATGTGATATTTGACGAATGCGGTATGGAAAAATAAAATTCGGAATAAATGTTAAGAGATAAATATATTTCGAAATTTGACTAAATAAAATGCTTTGTTCATCTTTATTTTGATGCTTATACATCAATTGAATCAAATCAATAGATTGGTAAAGATGCATCAAGTAAATCGAAATTTATTTTCTTGGTTTCAGCAAAAATAAGATTATAAATTAGGAACTATTTTATTCTTTTACAGTTCAATTAATCAATAACATAAAATAAATATGCAGTCCGCAAGCTTAAAATTTCTCTTTTTCACTACTTTACTCGTAATCTTTTTTTTGGTTTACATCGTCGCCGAAGCTGACCAATCTCAAAATAAACCAATGACAACTGCAATTATTCATACAAAATCCTCAGTATCTCAAATGAAACCGACTCCAACTTCAAATGACGGAGACAGTGATAAACCATGGATGGAGTTACCTGGAAATCCAGATTCAGATAAAATTCATATCATTAAAGCAACAACTATTCGTCATCACATAGATCCGACTTCTAAAGCAAATAGCAATGATAAAAATAAATTGTCGGGTGCTAGTCGTGTGGAAATTGATGGAGCGTTGATTAAATTTATGGGCATCTTTTTGAGTTTTGTGATTATTTCTGGACATTCTTTAATCACGAAATAATTAGCTTAATTTCTTAATTAATTATTTTTTATATATATGACATGAATATACCGTATGCTACATGCACTTAATTACAAAATAAATATCGAAGCTGTGCGCTTTTAACCATAAAGATTTTCAAAATAATTTATACAATTTGTGAATTTTTTATTATAAGGATAGAAGCGAAATTCTCCGGTAACCTAATAATTTGAGTTAGAATATGGCTTATGATTAAATTTAGACCTATAATTGCTGTCCGTATTAATATGAGATATGGCAAAAAAATTATTTGAAAATATATTAAATTTTATAAATATATTATTAATATCTCAAAATTTAGCAAAGAAATATTTTTAGTAAATATCATGTAGTTCTCGCGAGATTCGTCTTTATATTGCCCTTGTATTTTATAGCAAATACAAATAATAACCTTGCTAATACAACCAAGAAGTTTGCTAAAAATGTGATTTTCTTTATAAATAATATATTCAGGATAAAAGAATAATTGTTATATTTTAATTTTTAATTATTTTATTGGTTAATGTTAATATTGATATTTTTGATAATTTCTTAAATAATTATTAAAATAAATATATGTATGAAGTATCAATTAATTATTTCATAATCAATCTTTATAAATTATGAAAATTTATTTAATAATCAATTCTTTTTTATTTTTCTTGATTTTTTAAATATCATCTTTAGAAAAGTCTCTTAATATATATATATAGTGGCTGCTGAATTTATGCTTAGAGATTAAATCTATTAATAAAACATAGTAAAAATTGAAATTTTCTTTCTATATTAAAGGTCATAATTTCATTAAGAAATAATTTTTATTTTTATATCAAAATAAATGTATAAGTTTATAGTTTTAATATGTATTTTTTCAGATTTTTTAGATTCTTTGAAAGAATTATTTTAATTACAAAGTTAATACAGAATTTTTTTAATTAAAATAAAATTTAAAAAATTTTTGTATCAACTTTGCAATTAGAACTAAGAAAGCTTGTTAAATTCATGAATTTTAGTAAATAATATAATATTAATGTCAAAATATTAATTAAATATTAATATATAATATATCTTTATTATTACAGATTTTTTTGAATTTTGATAATATAACAAATTTATTAAATATCAAAATACTTATTAATTATTAATATATAATCTAATATAATTTCTAAATTTTAGTATTTTAATATTTTTCAAAATAATTTTAACAAGTATTAGTGATTAAAATAATACTTTCAGAAAAAATCTAAAAATCTGAAAAAATATATGTTAAATTATAATTTATAAAAATTATTTCTTAAAATATTATTAAATTTTATTATAAAAAACTTTTAATTTCTATTAATATATAATATTTAATAGATTTTATATATAATATTAATCTTTATAATACTATTTTAAATAAAAATTCCTAATTTAATATACAGTAACAACCAAAAATAATGACTCAGGAGCTAAATTTACTAATAAAATATAGTGAAAATTGAAATTTTCTCTTTATATAAAAATTTATGATTTTAATAAGAAATAATTTT